TACACTAGATGAAATCATGATGTTAAATATAAAACTCAGTAGTGCTCAATACCTATATGCAATCGCACATACAAAACAAATATGGTTCATTGAAAACCATATCTAATAGAATTATTTAAAGTTCAAGGCATACAAACTATCATCATTCATAGATTCATATTTACAAGTATACTCATAATCCATAGTCATATCAATAGGCATAAACATTAATATCTAGAAGTTCTTATCAAGCAAATTTTCAATGTTCCACAAGTATAAGTATTCTCATATCAAAATAAGACAAGTATTATAATCCAGTACATATATAAGTACTTAATATTAACCATGAGTACACAGATAAGCAACAGATAGAATATTATCAATTCATATCATAATCCAAAATAGCGTTTCACAGTCACATCACTTAATATCTTTTATTATTGGACCTTATCAGTAACTTAAAAGAAGCAAAAGTACTTAATATTCCACAAGTATAAATATTCTCATATCATAATAAGACAAGTATTGTAATCCAGTATATACACAATTACTTAATATTAACCATGAATACACAGATAAGCAACAGATAGAATATTATTAATTCATATCATAATCCAATATAGCTTTTGACGGTTACATCACTTAATATCTTTTATTATTGGGTCTTATTAGTAACTGAGAAGAAACAGAAGCAGAACAAATAATAGAAATAGTATCTGAATCAAAGTCAAATTTACACTGGCTAGATAGCCTTTTATTACAGTAGGCTTAAAAGCCTTTCAGAAATAATGGAGCACGTCCACTCATTCAATAGACATCCATGACATATGATCATAGCTCAATCCAGTTTATATATAAGTAGCATGCTCTTTGTTTTCAAAATAGAATAGCCACATTCTAACAACCATTCAACCAAGTACATAATAAGAGTCCAAATATTTATTATTTCATTCAAATTATTTCAATTCCAATTCCAGATAATAACCATGTATTTATATATTCACATAATTATTCATAAAGTCCACAACAAATAGGTTCTTACCTCTCAGCAATATCACCTAATTAAGATTCATAGGAACTCATAATTCCATATGAACCTCAACCTCATAGCATGCTCAAACTCAAATTAGTTTATACTCATCAATAGCAATAGACAATAGCCAAACAATATTATTCAAGCTTATCTCATTGAACTTAAACGCTTAAGTACACAACATAAGTAAACCATCAAAGGAAACTTACTCACCTCAAGCTTATAGCTTCGGCCTCTTTTAGGCTCTTTGCTAAAATACCACTTTCATTCAATTAATCATGCATTTATACCTTACAAGGTTCTAATTGAAAGACTATCAATTCAAAATAACTCAATCATGCATGCAGCCTAGAAACATCCATGATTTAATCACATAATAACATCATAAAAACATCCAATTGCACTCAATGCATTCAATTTACATATATAGACTGATATCCTGAAAATCCTCAATTATGGTTCAATTCATGACCTAAAACCCAAATTCAAGTACTATTATTCAAGTTAAGTATAATTGACCAATTAAAAACCATACGTAATACCCTTAATCTGATAGTTCTAGAAGTTCTAGTTATGTTGTTAATTAATATTATCCGGATAGCTAGAATAATTGGGATTATCTCAATTTTAATATGTAGGACTACTAATTATAAGTTATAATGTAAGTTAAGGTTAAATTGCACTATGGGAATTAAATTAGATTAAGGTTAAGTGAATTTAAGTTATCGTGATGAGAAGCTAGCACGTGAAGCTCCTCAATCAAGTATTTTGAATTAGTACTTAAAACAATTAATATTTAAATGTCTAAGTGTTTGATTAACAATTACTATTGTATTTTTTTTAATAGTTATTAAATGATTGAAACTTAGAATTGTAGGGCTTCTCCCAAAACGGGAGCCCTTCCAGAAATTCTCGAAGGCCTAAGTTGAACCTAGACCTAGGAGGGGGTTTGTAAACAGTTTTCAACCAGCAATAGATGCGCCTCGGTTAGAACCTCATGAGCTGCGTCATTGCCCCAAGCGCAAAGACGTTTGTTTTTCTTTTTGTCAAAAATATATCTATCTCCTTTAAAAAGAATTATATCTATGTATTAACAAAATTATTATCCTTATAACTATTAACAAAATTTTCAACAGGTGTAAAAGATATATGTTATATTTAATCATCATACCTTATCAACTAAAAAATCTTATCGATTTAAAAATTTAAAATTTTTCCAAAAAATTTCAAGTTTCTTTTTTAAATGTGGATGCAATCCACTATTATTTAAATCTAAAATTCAAATCCGAATTTATAATATATCTAAATAGAATAAATAAGACATAAGAGTATACAAAAATATATTTTGAATCTCAAATAATAATATTATTATTAATTAAAATTTTATTTTAAAATATGTTTAATTACTTTTATTCAAAAATAAAAAATTTGAATAAATTAATATCATATTTCAGTAATAATATTTATTTAAAAAGTATATAAACACTCGCGCGCAAAAACGAAATAACAATTAGTATAGGTAAGAATAATTGAAATTAATACTTAAAACAATTAATATTTAAATGTCTAAGTGTTTGATTAAGATTTAATTGGTTTAATTGAATTATAATACTTAAAGAATAATTAAAGATAAAGAATTAAAAAAAGAAAAGAAAAGAAAACAATAGAAATGTTATTAAGGTGGGATAGTGATGGAATTTGTACTAAAGCTTAGGGTATATACATAACTTTAGAAGCAAAAGGACAATTCCACCTCTTTCTTTTTACTCTTTATTTGGCCAACCCACTCTTTCTTCTTCATTCTTGATCTAAAGCTTTTTCTTGTTTCTTCCTTATGCTTGGCCGAGCACTAACAAAGAGAGGATAACATGTTTTAGTTGATTTAAAGAAGAAGAAGAGGATTTAAGATAGAAATTAAGCAAGGAAATAACAAGGGTTAGTAATTCTTTCTTGTTTCATGATTATATGGTTTTAGTATATTAGGTTTTAATATTAAGTATATAAGTTTTAGGGGTAGGGATGACAATTTAACCTGATCCGATGGGAACCCGTTCCGACTCGATTTTGACGGATTTGGGTAGTGTACAAATGGGTTCGAGATGGATTTGAGTAGTAATTTTAGTGCTCGCATTGAGTTCAGAGTGGATACGGGTTCAAGTGGATGAGTAACGGGTTTAGAGCGGATACGGGTTCAAGTGGATGAGTAACGGGTTCAGAGTGGATACGGGTTCAAGTGGATGAGCAACGGGTACCCAATAATAACCGGGTCTGGGACGGGTACCCGCTACCTGAACCCCGTTACCATATGATTTAAGCAAAATTTTAATTTATAATAATATTGAACCCATATGATTTAAGCAAAATTTTAATTTATAATAATTTTGAACCTATGACCTTTGTGTATTAATTAAATTACCTTACCATCAAGTTATTTAACATTCTTATGTAAAAAATATGCAACAAATATATATATTGGCAACTATAATAATTTGTACTTTAAACATTTATTAATGAATCCACGGTATTATTGAATAGTAATATAATCTTATTTATAAGTAAAATTTTAATCAAATTTTTATAATATCATAATACATTGAATTTAAGTTTTTTTTCATAAAATATATTAAACAAAATTATATATATAGTATTCATGTAATGTTTTAATAATTTAATTGAATATTTTATATTTTTGTAATTATAAAATTTATTAATTGAATAGAATGATAATAATGTTATCATTAAAAATTTTTAAAGCTACTTATTAACATCACTAGTAAACTTCTAATGATAATTATAATTAGATCTTAATTTAAAATATGACTCATGTAGAATATAAAATCTACATAGACTTTTAGTAAATTATAATATGACTCATATAAAATATCACTAATGAACTTATAACTATAATTACAATTGGATCTTAGTTAAATGTCTTTTTATTTTTTTATTAGTATCATCATATATATAAGTATACTTATACTTAGAAGTCTAGTGTCTATAGGTTAAGGATTACAACAACCATAATTAATTATAACCTACTAAGTATATTCTCTAATTTAAAAATATTAAACTTAATGCTTTATATAATATTTTGTTTTTTTTTTTTTTTTGATATTAAACTTAATGCTTTATATAATATTTTTGTTTTTTTTTTTTTTTTGAAAAGAAGTATAATATTTTGTTATTACACTTACTATAATATTGAAATATAATATAGATATAATTATAGCTTTTTAATTAATTAATAATAATAATAATAATAATAATAATAATAAAACTTTAATAATAATAAATTAATAACAATAATAATAACTTTAATAATAATAATAATAACAAAAATAACTACTTTACCATCAAAACGACGTAGTTTTGATGCAGGAGGTTTAAAAACCCATAAACAAACAAAGATCTCTCGAATCTCAACTCAAAGTCTAGCGTTTCTCCTCTCCCTCCCTCTACCTGTGCCGCTCTCGTTCTCTCCTTCTACAGCCACAGTCTTTCTTTATACCTCCCGTCGCTTTTGTTCTTCACCGTCGCCTCTGCAGCAGCCGCAGTCGTGCTCTTCAAGCGTACAAGAGCTAGGTTCGTTCTTGATTATTTTTATTTCGTTCACATTTTTTTTTCTTTGTTTTGCTTCGCCCTTTTTCCTTTTTCTTTTTGTTTTTTTTTTAATATATAAATACATATAAAACAGACAAAGAGAGAGGAATTTTGTTGAAGATATTGTTGAATTATAATTTGTGGGTTCCAGCGAAGAGATATATTTATTGTTTTATTTTTTTTCGTCTTGTGGATTATGTTTATTGTTTTATTTTTTCGTTTGTGGATTTTGTGCATGTTTTACTTGTTGAGAATATCTATATTAAAAGGCAAAAGGATGGTGAATATAAGCTGATTCGTGGCTATATGAGTGAAATCTGACATGTTTGGCTTGTTAATTCAAAGTTTAATTTGTTAATAATGATTAAAGTTGTGTAGAGATACTGAGAATGAGATTATTTGCATATAATTGTCATAAAATTGCATATATATATATATATATCTATGATTTGTATTTTGTGATTTTATATAGGGATGAAATTTTTTCTGACTTGATAATGGAGTTCTTGTTCTTATTTATTTTTCAGATTTTTGTTCATGCGCAGAGTCGAATGTATGCTTGTTGTGCGGAAGAAGATAAGCTGATTGTTAATCCTTGCAATCTTGGGTCTTGAAAAAGTGGAGTTCAAGAATTACATTCATGTAAAATTTCTTCCGTTGTTATTGTAATTTTGTTCTGTTTTAATGTACTTTTTAATTCAGTAATTTTTTTTATTGAGATACTTTTTAATATGTTCTATATGGATTTAGTTCTCATTCAAGGATTATGTTTATGTAAACGGGTTCAGTTAGTATGCGGCTAATTTTAAACGGATTTGGGACGAGTTTGGGTATTATTGGTTTATTCCTTAACGGATTCGGGTACTTAAAATGATAACGGATTCGGGGTCGGATAGTTTATTTTTTTGCGGGTACTCGCCCCGCCATCCCTAATTAGGGGTTTTGTAATCAAATGATTTTAATTAAAATTAAAGAGGATAATAAGTTATTTGAATTGATTTAATGAAAAATTTGTACTTAAAATTGGAAAAAAGGGAAGAAAATTCTTTTGGTATTGTTGGTGGTTTCGCCAAGTTGTGTAGCTTTAAGAGGAATAGTTTGTAATGGATGGCTATGTAGTCGAATGATAGTATAAGATGAACTAATAAAGGTTATGGGATTGAATTTCACGATTGATAAAAGAAGATAACAAAGGTAAACTCATTGAAAGGTTATTACATGTGTACTGCCTAGAAATTCAGTCACAAAGATTGAATTAGTTAAATAGGTAAATGAACTCTAAAAATTATGAAATTTTACAGGGAACTATTTTAGAATGTTCGAAAGGTTGTGGTAAAAGGGCTGGTGTAATAGATGAGTAGAAGTGGAGTTATAGTTAAAAGAATGCAGGCTGCTGAATGAAAAATCTGACTGAAAATTAGGTACTGTGTTTAGGTTATTTAGCTATGCAAATGAATTCCAAAATTCATAAAATTTTATATGAAAGTAGCCTGAGATGTGAGAAAGATATTATTAAAATTTCAGACAAATAAATTTAAGAAACTAGAGATATAGCTAAAGGAAGACAAACTACTCATATGATGGAAACCTTGTGTTCCATTAGTTTGTAAGGAGTTTAGCATATTTTTGATATGTTATTAAGTCCAATTATTTTAGTTATTATTTTTATAATTCTAGAATGAGATTAAGTATTAGAAGTGGAGTATTTCATGCCTAAAATAAAGACAAATAATACTTGGTCAAGCATAGAGAAATTAGAGGAAAAGCATGAACACTATATTATATTACTTAATTTATATTTCTATGATAGTATGTGTAGGTCTAATGTATGTAGTATGAAATTAATATTAATATTAATTTCATGTTATAGTTTTTGAGAGTAGAGGATTGAAAAATAAGTTAATATCTAGAGGAGAAAGGCTAGAGGAGCCTTCCAATTAAGGTTAGTGCATTACTCCTTTCTTATTTTGTTAAAATCAAAATGTATTCATTTCACATTTAACTTCACAAAGAGGCTTATGAATAAAAGGAAATATTAGAATAAGGGTTTTATGGATTTGAAAGAAAGAAGCATGACTTGATACCTTATGTTTTTAATGATTTTTTAAAAAAAAATAGATTGAAAGTTGTTTATATGAGAAAGGAGGATGTTGGCCAATTATTATCTGTAGTATGACGGATGGCCGTAAATGAATGTCTTTAGTAGTGTTTATGGAAATTGAATTGTTGCCCAATGTGTTTTCAATTATGCTTAAAATATGGAATGATTTATAGTCTCGTAGCAATTAATAGACATAGTTATCGCTGATATCACTTCATTTGTTAAAGTTGATATTGTGATTGATTTGCAAATAAAATTGCAAATGATATCATTCCTCCTAGATGAGGTTGAGATTGCCCCTCTTTTGTTGATATTTATATCACAGATTGAGGTCGAGATAGGTTTGTCTTAATGAGCTCATAGGACACTGATGACCCTTCAGATTGAGTCTATTTAGGCTGCTGAGACTAAACTGGATAATGTCAAATTTCTTGTATTGATGTATTTCCTATAATTATGATGCTCTATAATCATTTTCACACAAAGGTAGTTATTGATTTTTAAGCAAAGAATTTCTATCATTATTATTGATATACTTTCTTACTAAAGTCTGAGTTAAAGAAAGATTGATTTTCAAGAAAGATTAAATGAAAAAGATCTTCATATGAAGTTTTAATTACAGTTATAGATAACATTGAAAATTTGTGTATTTTGGCTTGATTTTATATATATGCACCACTAAGCAATTTGCTTAGCAATAGTGTTTTCCATACTATTGCAGGGAAAGAAAAGGAGAAAGTAGGAGAGGCGAGTCCTACTAGTCGTGGGATTCCTTTTTGTTTAATGTAGATAAAGGAGTTACTACTGTAGCTATTGTGTATATTGTTTCTTTTTTGGATTTTGTATGATGTATTAAAACATTAACGGAACAATCAAATGTGTATGAGCAAATATATGTAATTAAAGTTTATGTAAACTCTCAATGCTAGTATATAGTACAAGCTATACATACATACATACATATATATGCCTTTATTACTTGAAGTAATTTACTCATACTATTACTTATACATGAAAATTAGATCAATCCAGTATGTAGCTGCATTTTAATTGGGCTTATATGGGTTATGGAACCACTTGCGATGGATGGACATGAATAATTGTAAAACAAAAATTTATGATGTTATAAATACTTTTCCTTATATATATAATGTATATTTTAAAATGGAAAGAGCTTTTGACCCTATTTTTAAGTAATGTTTTTAAAAATAATTAGCTAATAAAGATGTATTTTAATAAAATTATTTTATTTAAATCCATGTAGTATGTTTATTAAGTTCTTATTCAGAATAAGTGCTTAATAAATATATTACGGGCGACATGCCACGTCTTACAGTGGAGTAAGGTGTGACACCATACTTAAGCCATGCATAGGTTGTAATCACTTGAAGTTAACATACAACGTGTCATACACAAGTATAAGTTCGACCAACCTAAGTTACTGGGCTTAAGAAGGTGATTTCATGCAATTTATCATGTTATAAATCAATTAATTGATTCATCAATTGGACTAATAACACATTCACATAACTATAATTAGGTTCAATTAGACAGAATTCTCCTAACTAGGTCATAATATGATCCTTAGACTTACAATCAAACCTCAATCAAGCTTCACATTTAATTAGTAAGACTCATTACTTCATTAACTACAAGAAATATAGAATATTGTGATAAATTTCCTTGTGACAATTTTTTTTTTCACCTAAAACAGCTCCTTTTGTGACAAAACAAAATTCCATCACTCTACACATGAAAAAGGTGCCAAATTGTGACAAAACAGAAATTTATCATAATAATTGACCATAATTAAGGAAGACACAAGAAGTATAGTTACAAAAAAGAGCATGTCAAAAATTTGTCACTAAATCTTAGCGCCAAAAGTTTTTATAATGAATACATTTTGTCACTATGGACATTTATCATAATAAATATAATTAATTACAAAAGAATTATTTTTTTTCATCATATATAAACTAGTGGTAACAAATTATATATGTGGTAATAAATTTCCATATATCATGACCAAATTTTTGTCACAAGACAAGTGTAATAATATGTAATTATAGTAAAGGGAAATAATTGTAAAACTTTTTTGAATTACATAGCTTTTTTAGTCCTCAATATTATTTTGATAACTACAAGTTTATTATATTTTATCAACTTATGTTTAAATATTAATGTTTTCAATATTAAGGTAATAATTTCCAAAGACAATAAAATAAACATATATTGAAACTAGCTCGTTATGATATGTAAACAATATTAAAGAATTGGAACCTGACCTTCCCCTGCCTTTGTACAAAACATCTTAGTCATTCTAGGGGAAAAGTACAGCTAGCTTTATTAGGAAAAAAAGAAAACAATATAAGCTATTACTAAGTAATGGCTTCTTCCAATATTTAGTAAATCAATATAGTCCAATCCCAACCAATTGTAGATATTATGAGTTTCAATTTAAAATTTTTTATTAACACACAAAATTATGTATTTTGAAGCACACGTATATTTGAGACCCAAATAAGAGCTCCGTGTATGTCCCTTCTTTTACACAAAAACTATTGGAAATAAAATTAAGATTTATATATGGAATTTAGATTGAAATTCTTTTTCTTCATGTTGTTGAACATTTAATTTTATCATTAACTTATAGCATTAAATTTCAAATTTTATAATAAAAAAATAACTAAATCTTTTACCATTAAAAGAAGTATCTCAATTTTTTTTTTTTTTGAATTTTAATCATCCTCCATAGAGGATCTTGTTTCTGTTCTTATTTTCAGGGGATCACATTCCCAATAATGGTGGTGATATGGATAACATAAAGAAAGATTAAAAAAATGTAATTAAGTTCTGCCAAAATCTAATGCAATTGGGAAAATATAACACCCTAGATGCAACGAAAGTCTCATACCCAAATGTTATACAAATTAAGTATTTAGAGAAAAAAAAAAAGAATGAATGACCTATTTAAATGATAAAAGACTAGTGAAATGATGAACAAAAATTAAGAGTTAAATGAGAATAAAATGCTAAAGAAATCAAGTATAAGCTTAAGTATTAAAAATGTGAAATGACCAAATTAGACACCTAAATTATTAATGAACCAAAATGGTTAAAGGCGATAAAAATGATATTTCATTCATATAGGTTGTAGCCTATTCTATACACATCAAAGCAAAGCAAGTGAATCATATCTCTATTTAAAAGCAAGGAGAACAAATTGAATAAGCTATTAGTGTAAGGCAAAACTTGCCACTTCACCTCTTCACCTCCAAAACGGACCTCTTCACCTCCAAAACGCAGCATTCATTCTCCTTCTTCTTTTTAGCATTTTTCAACCTGCCATAGCTCTGTGAATTTAATGTGAAAAAATATTTTCTTACTTTTTTTTCATCAATAGGGACACATATATATATACACATACAAGATACTATAAAACTATTAGGAATCTAACTGCTAACAGAGTTCTATTTACAACTAATCCTTAACACTCCCCCTCAAGTTTTTGGAGCATAGATGTTAATCATGCCCAAATTGTTACAAAGATAGTCCACCCGAGGTCCATTTAGAGTTTTTGTAAAGATATCTCCTAACTGTTCACTTGTTTTAACGTGCCCTGTAGAGATAACATCCTA